CGAACTCCTCCTAGGGATTTAGTCCGACCGACTTCAAATTTGTGCTGTGCCTTCTAAAGGCATTGAAGATGAAAAGTTGTGCTATTTGCGAGTTTTCGTCAATGGGTGTGTCCGTGGCGTGGCGTCAGAGATCAAGTCTTCGCCATGACACAGGAAGTTGTTGTAACTTCAGTGTACATGCTCACATCTGAACCAAACTTTACGTGCTTGATAACTCTCCCACCCCGCTATGGAGGACCGATCCTGACACAGTCAGAAATAAATACAGAAATAAATAAATGCTCAATAAATAAATAAGCATCCAATTAAATACACAAAAAAATAAAGTAAATAAATAAATGTAGGTAGTAATTAAATTATACAAGGAGACATAAATGTATATATTTAATTAGTGCCTTTACTTATTCACCTTTGTTATAATTACCTTATTTATTTATTCTGTTATACTTCAACTTTATTTATTACTAATTTTTTAATGTATTTATTTATGTGTGTGTTTTAATATTTTTGTCTGTTTTATTCTTCCTTTGTATTTTTTACCTTATTTATTTTCACCCATGGTATTTATTTCTGCCTGTCTTTTTAAATTTCTGTCTCATTATGCAAATGAGGAGGGGCTGTGTCTCAAGGGGTCATCTTCTCTGCTATTGGTGGACCAGTCAGACAGGAGAGCTCTACTACTCTGCCTGCAGACATCAACGATCTTGCCCCTCACACAGTCAGATGGCTTCCTTCAGTGCGCTGAGGTGTTTAACAACTCTGAAGACACTACCAGCCATGTCTTCCTTCTCTTTTCACGTAGACGCTCCGACAGACAGTGCTTTCAGTTTGCTGCATGCATGGACACAGAACTGCGGTATAGGGAGAAGCACACGGTCAGCTGGCTGCAGCTAAATCTGGAGTGCACTCGTATTCAATTCTGTATGGTAAATTCAGTTTTAACGGAGCAGAGCGAGCTGACAGGCAGAGTTAGAGACTTTTTCTGTCCGTTTCTCTCTTTACAAAGACGCATGTTGCAGTCAGAGTCTTCTCTGAGATGCGAGCACGACATACAACACAATTTATCAAATTACACAACGGATATACAGTATGAAAATAAGATTGATTGGATTATACTCACAGGAAGTATAAAACCTGTTACATGGGTCTATTAAAAGTAAAGTAACACAAAAATGTCAGGGAAATTACTTAGATTTAAGTACTGCAGTTGTACATTTGAAATACCTTCCTACCTTTCTGATAGGAAGCCTTCTTGAGGTGGTATAAAACATTTCTTCTTATATTCTGATTTGAGTTGTGGACAACTATGACCACATGAATTAAAAAAATTAAACATTTCACTGCCCAAGTCAGCTATAACACAAGTCTTGTTCATCAGACTACATGCTGTGCAGTATTTGACTACAGATTTTGTCCCAGGATTTATTATGCATTTCTTCTTCTTCGTTGCATGATTTAGAATAAAAAGGTGAGAAATGAGTCTTTTCTGAGTTCTTCCTGCACTGCAGCAGCTAATAAAGTCCATTTAATCCCAAAAACGCTTTTCTTTTAGGCAGGCTGGAGCAGAAAACAACTCACCTTTCTCAAGTTGTACAGTAATGTCACATGTGTATGAAGGTGGATCAAACAAGCTAATCTTAAATGTCAAAGTAGAGAGGAGCCTAGTAGGCCTATTTATTTTCATTCATTACACAATATGAATAAGCTATGCAGACAGTTGTAAAGAAAGAACATCTTTTTCTTCTGTTCTCTACTTGTTATAGTTACACAGTATTAGGGGTGTGGGCTGTATTAAAAGTATCCACTGTTCTCCCATGCTCTAACACACAGTAACGATGAAATGTGTGCTGTTCTCACATTCTTCCTCTGTATGTACACATAAACAACAAGGCAGGGAAATATAAAAGGAATTTATTTTATTGTTTGGGTACATTATTGTTCAGTGTACATGCTCACATCTGAAACAAACTTTACGTGCTTGATAACTCTCCCACCCCGCAGACATCTACACACCAATACCGATTTATATTCATAGCGGCAAGTGCTATGTAGCTCCACATAGGGGACACAGGAAGTGACATATAGCACCTTCATGCGGCGTCATAACCGCGTAACAAATTCACAGCCGCACCGGCAGAGCTCCAGAATGTGCAACTCGGCCGGCTCACACGCGGACGCGCTTACAAGTGCGAGGGCCCGCCCAACGCTGCTTGCAGCTTTAATTTCTGCCTGTTTTTTTTAAATTTTTGTATGCATTTCTGCCTCATTATGCAAATGAGGAGGGGCTGTGTCTCAAGGGGTCATCTTCTCTGCTATTGGTGGACCAGTCAGACAGGAGAGCTCCTACTCTGCCTGCAGACATCAACGATCTTGCCCCTCACACAGTCAGATGGCTTACTTCAGTGCGCTGAGGTGTTTAACAACTCTGAAGACAATACTACCAGCAATGTCTTCCTTCTCTTTTCACGTAGACGCTCCGACAGACAGTGCTTTCAGTTTGCTGCATGCATGGACACAGAACTGCGGTATAGGGAGAAGCACACGGTCAGCTGGCTGCAGCTAAATCTGGAGTGCACTCATATTCAATTCTGTATGGTAAATTCAGTTTTAACGGAGCAGAGCGAGCTGACAGGCAGAGTTAGAGACTTTTTCTGTCCGTTTCTCTCTTTACAAAGACGCATGTTGCAGTCAGAGTCTTCTCTGAAGAGGGCAATGAAGTCTCAGTAGTACCCGATGCGAGCACCACATACAACACAATTTATCAAATTACACAACGGATATACAGTATGAAAATAAGACTGATTGGATTATACTCACAGGAAGTATAAAACCTGTTACATGCGTAACACAGTAATGTCAGGGAAATTACTTTACTTAGAATTAAGTACTGCAGTTGTACATTTGAAATACCTTCCTAACTTTCTGATAGGAAGCCTTCTTGAGGTGGTATAAAACATTTCTTCTTATATTCTGATTTGAGTTGTGGACAACTATGACCACATGAATTAAAAAAAATTAAACATTTCACTGCCCAAGTCAACTATAACACAAGTCTTGTTCATCAGACTACATGCTGTACAGTATTTGTGGACAGATTTTGTCCCAGGATTTATTATGCATTTCTTCTTCTTCGTTGCATGATTTAGAATAATAAGGTGAGAAATGGGTCTATTCTGAGTTCATCCTGCACTGCAGCAGCTAATAAAGTCCATTTAATCCCAAAAACGCTTTTCTTTTAGGCAGGCTGGAGCAGAAAACAACTCACCTTTTTCAAGTTGTACAGTAATGTCACATGTGTATGAAGGTGGATCAAACCAGCTAATCTTAAATGTCAAAGTAGAGAGGAGCCTAGTAGGCCTATTTATTTTCATTCATTATACAATATGAATAAGCTATGCAGACAGTTGTAAAGAAAGAACATCTTTTTCTTCTGTTCTCTACTTGTTATAGTTACACAGTATTAGGGGTGTGGGCTGTATTAAAAGTATCCACTGTTCTCACATGCTCTAACACACAGTAACGATGAAATGTGTGCTGTTCTCACATTCTTCCTCTGTATGTACACATAAACAACAAGGCAGGGAAATATAAAAGGAATTTATTTTATTGTTTGGGTACATTATTGTTCAGTGTACATGCTCACATCTGAAACAAACTTTACGTGCTTGATAACTCTCCCACCCCGCAGACATCTACACACCAATACCGATTTATATTCATAGCGGCAAGTGCTATGTAGCTCCACATAGGGGACACAGGAAGTGACATATAACACCTTCATGCGGCGTCATAACCGCGTAGGAAATTCACAGCCGCACCGGCAGAGCTCCAGAATATGCAACTCGCTCACACGCGGACGCGCTTATAAGTGCGAGGGTCCGCCCAACGCTGCTTGCAGCTTTAATTATTATTATTATTTTTATTTTTATTTTATTTTTGTTTGTTTGTTTGTTTTTGTTTTTCTCCTCCCCAAGCCCCCCTCTCTGTTCTATTGCAGGTTTCGTTGCTTTCTGCAATTGGTGTATGGCTATACCCTGTTGTCCCCACCTTCCACCGGCCCGGTGATCCCACCCGCATTCTGTGAAGACTTGTCCTATTCAACCCCTGACTGGGTAATACTCGCTACCATTGTTGGTTTGATTAATACCGTCAAATTCAGGGCCAGCGCTGAAACAGATGCAAAAGTACTGATGATCAGGCCCGCTGTCAGGGAGGGTCAAAGGGTACAGATGACCCCGGCCCAAGGCCCAGGGGGACCCATGCAAAGGTCTATGGTTGACCCTTAAATGGGATCAAGTACTACACTTTACTTACTTATATCTCTACCAAAACAATTCATGCAAGTACTTGTTGTAGTATTAGATGCATTCAACAGCAGGTCACTGTATCGTAGACGCCAGGTTTTAGAGCCCGATGGTGGTTGAGAAATGGCTCTCATAGCTTTAGATAGATTGAAAGAGTGCTGGTACAGGGATAAACTAGATGTGAATATGCTACTTTGAAAGTAGTTATTACGGCAGATTATGTGAAAGGTAAAATACACGTGCTCTCTGTTTACAGATGGCTGAAAAGGTTGTACCTACAAGCAGCAAATATTTATTGATGTGCAGTGTTTACATGTTCAGTTGTTGAGACTGTATTCTATTTTCTTAATATAATTTAGGACAAGGTATTATAGCCCACATACAGGACAGCTTTCAATATAAGCCTGTTTTAAATGTAGTGCAGTTTCTTTGCTCTTTGGCCCACCTGTATTTTTCTATTCCTTTCTTTCCCAATGTTTAACTTTGTCTGTATGTTTTTCCTGCCTCTCATTTCCCCTAATGTTTCTTCTTTTTGTCTCCTCTTTATCTTTAACCTACCCTCTTAAGAGATGGAGAGCAGACCTCCACTCCCTCCAGTCAATCAGAAGCAGTGGCTAATAATTAAAGGGATGTAAGGATATTTAGCAGTAGTGAAAACCTCCTCGCCACAATAAATAAAGAACAAAGCACACGTTCTTCATTCCCAAAATAGGTTCTTTTATTTTTTGTTGGAACATTATTTGGACAGTACACACTGAGACTGATGCACAAATGTATAAAAAAATAAGTCAACATAAATATGTTTTTATTTACAAGTTATGTACATCATAAGTTAAAAAAGTGTGGAAAGTACAATCTATGTACACTGGGAAGGATCAGACCCTGAGACTGACTGAAACATAACTATCCCAAAAAGAGAGAACATGACACCGCTGAGGCTTCCCTCTCTCACCACACACTGAAACAAGAACAGTGTGTAACATATTCTGCATTCTACTGTACAGTGGGTAGTATAATTCAGACTAATTCTACACATTAGTTTGAGATTCTGCTCCCCTCAAATCTTTAAATGTTTGCCCCAGTGTTGCAGGATTAATCCTCTAAGCATATCTGAGGGCCTTAGGTCACACCTGTTAGAGAGGTATGAAGGCAGACGACTTCTTGAAACACAATCATGCTGAATTGTAAGACAAAAAGTGGATTAGTCTTTCTTATCTTTGCTCTTCCAGTGTGTACTAATCTGACAAAAAGAAAAAATAAAAGACAGAGAGGCTCTGTGCCACTCAGTTGAAGGAGGTGACATGAGACTGCTGTTTGAGGCACTCCTCAGAGTTGCCATCCTCCTCCCAGTCCTCCTCATCCTGGTCTTCACTGTCAGACTCATCATAAAAGCTGATGGTTGCCTGAATAGGGAAGTTCCTCAGCAGTGCCTCTCCATCGCTGTACAGATAGTCAAATGACTTGGATTTGGGCCAGAAAAGCCTGTTTGAGAGAGAAAGGTTGTTAATAATAAGGGGGTCCAAACCACAGACATGTTAAGTATTAAACACATGTGGTTCCCAGTACTGATGGTAATCAAGCAATACTAACTGGGAAGGTATTCTTGCTTGTGTTTTGAATCTAAGGGTTAAACTGAATTTTATTTATTATTAAAGAATAATAGCCTCTTGAGATGCATCATCTCATTTTGAAGAGGGTCACCAGGGTGAACAGTTAAATAACAAAAATAGATGTTGTCACATAGCTCAATTAAACTACAGTACTGACAGAAGGCAGCATCCATATGTAAGAATGGAAACATGTAGAAACAGTGAGGATACAGACCTGACAGGGTGCTGGAAGGCCTGAGGTTTCCCGTCTGACGAGAGGCAGCCTGGCACTGTGGGTCTTGAGTAAGGCTGAGGGCGTCAGAGACAAAGGGAGTAAGTGCATATTGTCACTGTGAGTGTCAGCATCAATACTTCAACACTGGTGGTTTGTACTCAAGTAGTAGTAGTAGTAAATCAGCAAGTCTAAACATTGTGAATTCAGGAAAAAGCAGAATCAGCTGTATCTGCAGCTCCCTGGCTTTACAGAGCTTTAAAGTGAGTTTCAGCTCATTGTTCAGCTGTTCTGGTTCGCTCCCACTGCTGTCAGTATAATGTTCGGGTGCAGCAGGCAGCTGTTTTTAGAGAACAAGCTGTGAAAAGCCACCATACACTACCTGCTGAGCAGCAAACAGCAGACAGACACCACTCCACTATAGTGTGGATATGACATTTACCATGCCTTCTCAAAAATGCCTTTAAAATGGGACTGGCCAGGGAAGCATTAACGCGTCACCTGCGTGTGTGAAGGGAGTGGCAATGTAATGAGGTGTGGCTCCCCAGAGTGACTGTGGGAATTTCCCCTCAGCTGTGGTGCCTCTGTGCCTCTCACATTTACCGTGTCACTTTACATTAGACGTGTCACTGCAGACTGGTGTCACTCTGGTGTTTTACTCATCCAGACCTTAAATTTGGAGCAAATAAAATTTGGGGTGGTAAAATGTCAGTTGGGGTCATAGAGAAGTGTAGAAAGAGGTTTTGGTAGTTCTCTTACTCTTATTCTTAGTTTTGGAAATGACTGTTTGTACTTTAAACTGCCTGTGTGGGATAAAATGTGTTTCATTTGCACATGCCAGTATTTTGAGAACCAAGACTATTAAAAAAACAGTAAGTGAGAGTGAGTCAGTGTTGTATCTTACACAAGACAGCTTGTTCCTTGAGCATGGCTCCAGTCCCTCCCTGCTGCTGGATAACCACGGTCTCCACATGGACGTCTGGCTGCAAGGATGGGAACACAAGAGAGGACTGATTACAATACAACAAAACATGTGCCCACTTTTACATGCTTCATTAAATACTAAAATACTAAAATACGTCTACCTGGAGTTGTAATTTACAGTGGAGCTGATCCTAGGCTACTGTAACAACATCCCTCCATCTCTGATACTGACTTTGCATCCTGTTGTCTGCAACTTTTTTAAATGACAAGACTCCACCTGACTAACTCTATAAGAAAGCACAGACTGAACAGGACTTTGTTTAAGGACTGGATTCCTCTATGACATAGTCATATTCATAGACACACACCACGACTCCCCATAGAGACGCTGCAAAAGCAGTCACATTTTATTTGGATCACCTTTCAACTTAAGAAAAAGAAAGTGCAAATGTCAGCCATACCCGATCCAAATAAGGTTACAGTTATAAACCGCCAGGGCCCTGCCGCGCTCCACTGTGGTAATGTTTAATTTTACCTTGTGGGGAATCCCTCACCTAACACAGCTCAGGCTTGTCTCCTCCTTGGTAAATCCGAAAGCACAACAACCATCCAGCATTTTGGCAACGCAAAAAGTAACAAACTCAAAGTAACCGTGTATCACTTGCATATTGGTTGGCAGGCAGCGGGAAATAACGCTTTTTTGCCTTCCGAGGAAGCGTTTTCCTTAGAATATGACGTCACGTGAAAACTCCGAATAGTCCTATATCATTCTATCCATGATGGGACTTAAGATGGTCAAGGTGAGCGACCCTTCATTTGGCTGAGGAACGCCTCTGGTAATCTAAAGTTGTCCTGTAGTTGGAAGTTGAGATAGGTATTTTAAGACAGTTGAGCAGAGTATCTAACAAGCAAACAAAAAAGCCTTTCTAAACGTGACTGTGACTTCTGATAAACACACAACACGGTTCACGGAACTGTGGATGGCTACTGTCGCCTAGCAACCCCTGTGACTGCACGAGAAACACGATGGAACGATGGAGTGTATTAAAACTACCATGTTATATTTCAGCCAGTACTTTGCTGCAACGTTAGCTAACAACTAACGTTACTTCATCAGCACTTAGCCCTCAGGTCAGTAAAGTTACGTACCTGCCGTCTGCTACCGACCACGGTAACGTTACTGCGCCGAAGGACGACTGCCGAAGGACTAAGCATACGGAAGTCATCCCTCCTGCTTCTCTACCGAAACGCCTTTTCTTGGTTCTGCTTCCTTTATGCAGGGCCGGACTGCAGCTGGAGAAACGCTGTCTGTGGCGGAGAGAGAGAGAGAGGCTGTGTTTATATAGCACTGCTGCTCGGGGGTGGGGGTCCCGCTTAAAACAATACAGAATATTATCATCGTTTAGAATTTTAAAGCAGGTTAAAGTCAAATATATACTGGATGTGTGACCTAAATGGCCAGCACTAACACAATGCTAGCTACAGAAATGTATAAAACTAGAGAAATGATGAAACGAGGTGTGCAAAGTGAGGGCTAGATAGGACCAGTACCAAAACCCTGACTTTCACAAACATTTTTCCTCAAACCTGTGAAAAAACAGTATACCAATAGGCCTGCAGACAAGGGACAAGGGAACAAGGTGTAAAGTTAGGGAATGAGGGAGTAACAATGTGGGAACATAAAAATAATTTACTGTAGGGTATGCCTACTTTTTCTGTTACTTCAAGGAGTATACAACACAGTACAAACAATGACACTGGGAAGGATGATGCTGCAGGCCTACGCTGCAGGCTGTAAACATATGGAAGATATTGCATTGTGGCCTCCTTTATACTGACACTGTGAATCTCACCCTGTAATAATGTTGTAGCTGATAAGTTAAGTGTGGGCACTATAATGAACCTGTAATTGACCTATGATATATGAAACTCACTAATGTACGATGGAACTTCTAATTTTCTCTTGTTAATTAGTTTACTGTTGCTCCCTGCTGCCTTTCGCACAGATGGTGTCAAACTTTTCTCCATGCTGTTTTTACAGACAACCTGGCGGTTTGAGATTTCTCACCACCCCGCAGTGTGGCAATATTTAGATAAGGGAGAAGGCTTCACAATGTGCTCATCAGTGAGAGCAACAGGCTGCAGGGGTGAGGGGCCATTACTGGGCCAGTGTTTTAAAGGATGCGCACGATTAGGCTAGGTCTTCATTGATTTTTATAAAAAACAACACACCATTCAGATTGTTCCATCTCTTATCGAAAATGATGAAAAATGAGTTTTTTTAAAAATGTGCTACTGAAAAATAGGCTGCTTTATGAATTTCAATTATTCACCTCTGTAATATTGTAGTGCATGGATTAAGATTCAATAATATTTTATTTATAAAGCGCCAAATCATAACAATGGTTATCTCAAATAGACTGTACTCTTTTTAATATTATTGAACTTAAGAAGACACTCTCGAGTGATGCACTGACGGAGTGTGCAGCGCATTACAGAAGGTGTGAGGATCCTCACTGATGGCCTGCTCTAATGGGCCCTAATGGTCCTTTCATTTGGGATAAACAAGGCTTTCAGGGGCCAATAGCAACCATGTGACACCCCGCTGAGAGCCGCAGTACTAAAAAGTGGGCAAAAGGCACAAATGGGCCTGATGATGGGCCAATAAAGTATAATAGAGATACCAGAGTACACAAATACATGCTGCTTCAGTCAACTCATCTGCTAACGAAGAGGGCTTTATCTGCTCTAACACCTCTGTGTGACACACAAGGGTTTGTTTTTAAAGCCCATCCTGCGCTGATGCTATAATGAATTTAATTACAGACTTTAACATACTGGGGATATTATTAAAAAACAAGGAAGATTAGAGCATATCAAAGGCTGAGCTACAAGACATGTCCTAATGTGATACTAATTTATGATTAGCTGTAGAAAGTATTATTACAACCAAGTTAATATTTGTTTTATTAAATAAAACATTAATGACTCAAATGGTTCACTTAATTAGGTTAGGCTATGTTTGACACGTGCATGTTTCCAAGAATCAGCAGTATACATGTAAAATGTACGCAATCTGTAACGAGGATGACAAGTCTGAGAGAACAGTGAGCTACTGTGGTACGGTTAAGAAGTTCATTTAGCAGAAATAAACACATCAAATGTTAACTGATACATATTGAATTAAGATGTTATGCTAATGTTAAAGACATTAGTGAGGAAAACAATTTTGTTTTCAGGCAGCTAAATGTCATCAAAGCTTCCTCATGAATCCAACATATTTCTGTTTAGTTTGTCTCTTAAGAAGAATGTTTATTTTGCGACCTATTTAATTTCATTTTATCAGTCTGTGTGTTGGGATCTTGATTGTGTTGCTAAAAATAAAATAAGGGATGAAGAGAGAACTCCGGTCTCCAGGTCTGGAATCAGTCTAAAAACCTGTCTTTTTCCCATCTCCCCCTCTGTCCTGTCCTGTCAGAGGTCATGACACTCTTTGACCAAGCATTAAGTTGCACACCAGCAGCAGATCTTAGCGAAAAGTTTGTCCATGAGTCATTCAAATGCTCAGCTCTCCATCAGAGCCCCGGAAAAACAAGGAATGGCACACTTGTTTACCCACCTCATCTATGTGTGTGTGTGTGTGTGTGTGTACCCCCCCCACTGTTTTCACATTTGCTGATGGCACAGACAGGACCTCCTCCCCTTCGCTCTCCCCCGGAGTGAGGAATGCTGCTAATCAGTGACCAACTGTTATCTTCTTGTGTACATACTTTGAATGTAGCTGAGGCAATATGAGTCATTCTCTTCAATCCTCAGTCAAAATCCTTGGAAAATACCACAAACTCATGCTAACATTAAGCAGTATGTGGCACATACCAGGGTCAAGTTCTGTGGTGGAACTAAAGACTGCGGACTGCTGTTTATACTACTTTTTTTTCTTTATTGAAAATATCCAGATTTACAGACAAACATGGCTGCAAAAATAAAGTCTGTTTCTTCAGAGTAGGATACAAAGAAAATATAGCCAGAGGGAGCAGCTCTTAATACAAACATAGGAAATATATATGTAGTCTTAGTAAGAAAAATAAAGATGATTTATAAAAGGAAAGAAACATTCAGAGAAACATTTAAATAAATAAACTGTAGGAAATTATAACTAGCTATTTACCTCAGTTGGGAAGTGTTTTAGGGTATCATATTTTTTGTGCTTTAGGACCTTTCAGAGTTTGTCTGTATCACATTACATGAGAAAAACACATGGTCTGTGGTTTCGACATAATTTTCACAAAATGTGCATGTGTTATCATCTATACCAATGCCAAGTCTTTAGAGCAACGAATGTTGTGCATTACTTTGAAGTGTGTTTCTTTCACTTAGGATGGGGGGGGGGGGGGGGGGGGGTGTAGGAAGTGTGTGGTGAAGTGTTCGGTACATTGTTCTTAGTTTAGTAATTGAATCATTATCAAACTTTTGTAGGATGTTAGGGAAAAGGTATTCAGTAAAACAATTTCTAATATAGTGATTAGTGCTTTTTCTACCCAGAACAAAGATCCCTTGAATTGATAGTGGGGCCAATTGTGAATTACATATATGCCAAAATATTTCTCGTTAGAAAGACAAATTCTTGGGGTAGTGCTCTATGTAATTTAGTAAAGTCTGTTTTTAAGGGTTTGAAATTATGTTTGATGCAAAATTGTTCATAATTTCAAAAATGTCCATTGGTATCCATTAAGTCGGCTATGGACCAGATATTTCTCCCAAACCAATCTTCAAAGAACAGAGATGTATTACAGTGCAAAACATATCTGTTGTACAGAGGTGTGGGGTGAGAAGTTATGTGCATATAACATATTTGTCTGTGAAACTCTGACAATGATATAGGTAATTTGTCAACAATAAAGTCTGCTCTAAGAAGAAATTCCTGTGCTGAATACTGTACGAAAAGGAGCTGTTGTGTGTTGATCCAGTACTTTAACCAATTTATTTTTAAGGTTCAATTTAGGCAGTCAAAATCAATAACTTTTAGGCCTCCATCCTTTGTGTCTTTAATCATACTGCTTTTCTTCATATAATGTGGTCTGTTTCTCGAAATGAAATTTAGGTTGATTTGGTGGATAGATTTAATCAGTTTGTCTGGAAGGGCATTGGAATAGGCTGGGTAAAAGTGAAGTGTCGTGTACACCCAGCAATTCACACTTTTCACAGAATTTTTTAGTTTTGGTGTGTTTGGTATCTAACTTTTAAGAATATTGTTGTGTCATCTGCAAGTACATTAAGTTTTGTCAATATCATTACAGTTTTTAAGATAGATTGCTAGCATTTCTGTGACAGGTATGGTGAGATGGGGCATCCTTGAGGCCATCCATCATCAACCGCTTATCCGCGGGGGGCTGGAGCCAATCCCAGCTGGCATCGGGCGAAAGGCGGGTTACATCCTGGACAGATTGCCAGTTGCCCCCCCCCCCCCTTCCACTTAGCTCTGGATATAATGAAGGCCCCTCAGGCCTTATGACTTGTTCTTCTTCTGTCTATCGTCTTCAGTTGGGTTTGGTTTATTACAGTACATATTTAACTGATTAATAATGTCTACTTCTTGTTTTTCACTATCTTATAAAATTATTTTACTGAATGAGATGGCAAATTGGTGTATTTTATATTTTAAGAATTTCAACTTTTTTGTAGCAGTTTTTAGCTTCTCAGAATTGGCAATTTCTTTAATTAATAATTAGATTTTTTGGCAGTAGTTATTATTTTTGAGCAGACTGGAGGTGTATGGAACATCCAAAGTGACAGAACTGAATGAAAGAATAAGTAAATAAATGGGGAAATAAATGCAAGAAAGAATGAATGAAAGAAAGTATAAATAAATAAATGGGTAAATAAATGCAAGAAAGAATGAATGAATAAAAGAATAAATAAATAAATGCAGAAATATATCAAAGAAAGAATAAATGAATAAAAGAATAAATAAATAAATGCAGAAATATATCAAAGAAAGAATTAATGAATAAAATAATAAATACATACATTTGCTTTTGCCTTTCCCCAAGGAGACCTATGTGTATTGCTTTTTCCTTCCTCTTCCTTAACTGTCAATCAATGTGTTGTGGCCAGCCCACTAAGTCAGGTCAAGCAGCCAATGACTGATACCTATCTTCAGTGTGGATATGCTGTCCCTGGAAGAGGGTTATGATTGGTAGAAAGTTTAGAAGGAGTTATGCTGCACAGAAAGTGAACGAAAACCATGGCTAACTGTGAGAACGTGTACACAGAGTTGCACCCTCAGCAGTGTTTTAGGTGTTAATTAAAAGGATGGCAGTTT